CCAGGCCTTCGGGCCTCACGCCGTCCGAGCTGTCGATCAGGAAGACGATGTCGGCCGCGTCGCTGGGCACGTCTGCGGGGGAGAGACACGTCAGCGCGGGTGGCGCGGGTGACTCGGGACGGGAATGCACTCGTCTCTGAGGCACCCCGGACCCCCTGGAGGAGTCCGGTCCACCCAGGCCTGAGGGCTCCTCTCGTGGGCCTCTCGGTCGCTGAACTGCGCCACGGCCACTCGCGTGCTGCCCGGACGCACGTCCAGCTCCTTGACGACCTTGTAGAGGAAGCCGTGCACGGCGGGGAACTGGCCCACCAGGTTGGCCAAGCCGTCCAGCAGGAACAGGATGTCCTGCTTGCTCTCTGCGAGGGACAGGGCACGTCCAGTGAGGGCCGGAGGGGCGGCGCTGCCGACCGCCCCGGACCCGGCCTGGGACAACCCCGCGGATATGCGCAACCTTCCGCAGACCTGGGGGCTGTGAGTCTGGCAGGACAGCCGGGGACCAGGAGGCCAGGCCCGGGCGGTGCTCAGCGGACAGTGCTCGCCCCATGGCCTGAGACACCAGCAAACCAGCAGCCGGGGCGGCGGCTCAGGGCCTGAGTGTGGCCCCGCCCCACAGTATTGCTGAGCACTGTGGCCAGGAGCAGCCCAGTGAGGCCCCAAGCAGATGAGAACTGGCGGCCTGAGCAGCCAGAGGGCGTGTCCCAGCCCTGGCCACAGACCCCTGCCCACAGGCCGCGCCTCTCCCGCCTGCACGCCGCGCCCCTCCCTGCACCCGGGCTCAGACTTACGCCTCGCCGCACCCCCCTCCCCGATCCAGGGGCGGGCAGAGGGTGGCCGGCTTCCGTCTCCCCAGAGAGCAGCCCTGCCCCTCTCACAGTCCAGGGAAGCCCACCACCCGTGGCCCAACACCCCGCACCCCCGGAGCCTCCTGTGGTTCCAGACCCCCGACTTCCTGTGGCCCCAGAAGCCCCTTCCCCACGCCCACGTCAGTGCCCCCACAGCCCCCGACAGCCCCTCACCTTCCGTGATCCCCGAGAAGGTCCTGAGCGGGGCCACCAGGCGGGGGAGCAGTGCGTGCAGGGGGGCCGTGCGGAACTCGGCCGGCACAAAGACCAGGGAGGCGTTGAAGGCCACCTCCCGCAGCTCAGCCTCGTCGGCCGCCTTGCTGCCCACGGCGAAGGCCATGATGCCAGCGCGACGGAGCCGCTGGGCCGGCCGGCTTACATCATCCAGCGACCGCCCACCTGTGATCAGCACCAGCAGCTTGGGGACGCCCTCGGAGGCCCGGTGGCCGTTGGTGCTGGAGAAGAGGCGGTCGCGGACGAAGTCGAGGGCGGAGCCCGTGTAGCGGGCGGTGCCGTCCATGGGCTTCATCCTGCGCAGGGCGGCCACCACCTCCCTGCGGCCCGGGTGAGTGTTGAAGTAGAACTCGGGCCGGACTGTGTCCGCGTACTGGGCCACGACCACCTGGACGAGGTCCTGGCCGACCTCCAGCGTCTGGATGACCTTGACGAGGAACTCACGGGCAGCGTTGAAGCTGGCCTGGCCCAGCGGTGAGGAGCCGTCCACCAGGAACACGATGTCCCTCTTGTTGACCTCCATGGCTGCGGGTGCAACGGGCGGAGTCAGTGGTGGCCCGACCCGCCCACTGTCCCGCGGCCCCGCCACCTACCACAAGAGCAGGCAATGTGGGCGCAGAGCAGGGGGCTCTGGCCACGGCACACGCGCCCCACAGACTGCAGCCGGCCCACCTCCCGGGTCCCCCTGTGCGACCCTGGCACAGAAATCCATCTCGTCCCCGCCCGTCCCCTAGACCCAGCCGGACTGTGGCCTCCGAATCTCAGTTTGGGTGACGGGTCACGTCTCCCAGCGGCCCTGGCTCTGGCCTAGGGGTCACGAGTCCCTGACACGGCAGGGCTGACCCCACAGCACCCTCTTCCACTGGGACACAGTGACGGGGCCCCTGAATCTCACGAGCAGGAAGCCCGGGTCCAACAGGGGCAGTCGTGCTGGCCCCGTTAGCTCTTGGGGTTGTGGCATCCCAGCACCCTGAGCAGGGCACAGCGGTCAGGCCAGGGCACAGCCTGGGTGGCCGTGAGTCGTGCCTGCTGTCCACTGTCCAAGCACAGGTGACCGCCTGAGTTGGGCATGGGAGCCAGGACTGAGTGCTCCCAAAACAATGCTCTGAGGGCATTGCACATGCAGGCAGGCAGCACTTAGGGGCCGTCAGCAGCAAGGAGCCCTCACGCAGAGCCCGGTGGCATCCACTCACTGCTGCCACCGTCCAGCCTTTAACTAGAGCGGTGGGCTGGGCAGAGGCTCCTGGGCACGAGGCGGGGGTCTCAGGCACCTCCCCCCAGCATGTCCTGTCCCCACACGGGACACACGTATGCGGCTGGGCACGAGGGACACGGGACCCCTACGCCTTGCAGGGACGCCCCGCTCACGCTCCCCAACATGGGCAGCCCGGCCACAAGGGACAAGAGTAGAGGACAGAGGCTGGCCGCCACCCCGCCCTGCCTGCAGGGGGCACTCCTGCTTCCCTGCCCGCCGCCGCTGGGGTCCTAGGCAGAGTGTGCCCCCCTGCCAGCTGCAAGGTCATCCCAAGGATAAACAAAGGTCCCTGCAGGAGAGGAAGCCCCGGGCAAAGGGAGAAGGGGGGGCAAGGGTCGCGGCCCCTTCCTCAACCCGCACACGGCTGAGTGTGAGAATAGGTGAGTGCTGTGTGTGTGTGAGTGTGTGTGTGAGTGTGTGTGTGTGTGTGTGTGTGAGTGAGTGTAGGATACTTGCTTTGTCCTTTCTCCCTTGCCACAGGGAGCTTAGGTTGGTCGGTTTGCACCCATCACAGTGCTCCTGAGTCACTCCCATTCCTTTGTTTGTCTGTAACCATTTCTCTATGCTCTCCTCCCCAACCAGTTAATCAGTTTTTCCCCTAATCAGAATCTGCTAATCTGTAAGGTCAGAGTCTTTTAGGACACTGGACTTGTAAGTTGATATCGCCTTTCTCCTCTCCTGTCTTTTGAATAGTTTACTTTAAGGCAATGTCCTTTTTGTAGAGACACAAGAAGATAATTCATATTGTGCTTTTGTAGCTTGGGACTTAATTGGCTTCGAATATTATTCATTCCTGGGCATCTGCTTTCTTAACTTAAGCCTCAGTTGCCCTCACTTCCCAGAATCCCAAGAGCAAGGTCCTGACGAGGGACTGGATGGAACCAGGGCAGGCGGTGAGCTATGTGCTACCCTGGCATCGAGATGGGCCAGGCCAAAGTGCCACGATTTTTAACTAGAAGTTAGGAGTTTGATCATAGACAAATGCTTTCATGATCCAAAAGTAACAGCAAGACTAGGACCCTGCTAGGGATAGGAAAGACTATCTGGCCTGAGCACGGTAGTCTGAGATTGAGATGGCCCTAGGAGAGCAATTCTATAAGCTTAAAGAATTTCTTACTGTGTCCATACAAAATGATTTCTATTATGTATGCTTATATGCTTGTTGGACAAGGAGAGGAGAAACACGCCCAGGGAATTCCGTTCTAGGGTGGGTTGTTCTGCTAAATGAGTATCTGTCCTAGAAGCGGCTTTCCCGTGTGTCCTGACTAGCTTGGACGAGGCTGAACATTTCCCCCCTTCCAACTGCCTTCAGTAAGTCATTTCAGTACATTGTAAGAGGCAGTTTTCCTTTTCTCACAGAAACCTGGCTGGTCTCAGACATACAGATCTCAGGTGCTAGCCATGCCTGATCTTTGGGATGTAGATTCCAGGCTCTAGCAGACTAGTTTTTGGGATGCAAACCCAAATGCGTGTAGCCCGAGAAAGGTTTCAGTCTTGGTTTTGTATCTTCTTTCCAGAGGCCTCCCTGCTCGTGGGGATGCCGAGGCCATCCACTACGGAGACACCACGTCCCCCCACTATGTCCCTGTCTCAGAAGGCCCAAGTCTCCTCCGGGCCCCGGCTGTGCCCCCACCCTGCACACCCCCAGGAAATGCCGGTCAGCTGTCCAGCGGCCGCCCAGCCTGTCTCCTGCCCTCGCTGTATGGTGGGCAGTGCCGAGACCTGGCCAGAGGACAGTCACCTCTGTGTGTCTGTGGGCACTCCACGCAGGAAACGGCTGCTGGCCTCAGCGGTTAAGGGACTTGGCAGCCCATGACCTGGACACAACATCGGCCAGAGGGCATGTGGTCAGCCCTGGGCGGCCGCAGGGGGTCCCGGCAACACTGTGAGACCCTTGGAGGGAGAGGCGAGGCCCAGAGCCCCCACGGTTGGCTGCCTGCCTGGGCAAGACCCAGCTCTGCCCACGACTTGGGGCGAAGTCCTACTGAGTCTCAGGCTCCCCGGTGGGGCCAGCAGGGCCTGCCCAGGGGCGCAAGCGCTCTCTCCTTCTGGGCGCCATCCGTCTGCTTTCTAAGCATTTTCCTCTCCTGTCATGTTAGGCAGATCACTGTCTGCATGTTTTTGGGGTCACCGTCTATTTGTTTTGGGGGTCACCATCTGCGTGTTTTGGGGGTGCTGCTACCAGCCCCCCTGTATCTCCCATGGGGGCCAGGTTTGCGTGCAGCCTTGCATTGTCCTAAACTTGTTTTTCGTTCTCACTTTTTGGTTTTGGGGCCCCACCTAGCGGTGCTCAAGGGTTACTCCCGGTGAGCTCGGGGGACCCTGTGTGGTGCCAGGATGGAGCCCGGGAGGGCTCCCCACTGCTGTGCCATCTCTCAGGCCCTGACAGTTCTTTTTCTCAGGAAGTGAAAGGTGTGGAGGGAACTGGGGCCCCGGCACGGGGATATCAGAGCTCAGGTCTCGGCAGACATGCCGGGTCCCTCTCGGAGGGGCAGGGAAGAGCCAAACCTTTGTTTTTAAGCCGGTGACGGCTTCTATCCGCAGCACAGCAGGATAGCAGGGTGCGGGGGCATTACTTATGAGGTCTCTTGGGACCTCCTGCAGAGCCACCACGGCTCACACCCAGGACACCAAGTCGCCCACCGGCCTGGGGAAGGCCATCAGGTTCTCTAGGCGGGACATGGCATTCTGAGTGGTGACAGTGCTGACCCGGCCAAGGTGCCCTTGCCGGCATCGGCCGACAGGAGCCCAGCAGAGGGCAGGCCCTGACCGTCGCCCAGAACCAGGATCAGCTGTGGGACCCCGTCGGCGGCCAGGCTCCCGGCCGCCCGCGACAGATGGGCCCGCACCGCGCTCTCCACGCCGTTGGGGGCCGGGCTGCGGCCCCCCGTGTAGGACAGGTTGGAGAGGTGGGACAGGACTTCTTGCGGGGAGCGGTAGGTGTTCAACAGGAACTCGGTTTGGGGGTTGCCGTCGAACTGGACCAGGGCAAAGCGGAAGTCCTGCAGGCCCCCGGCCAAGGCCCGCACCACGTCACAGAGAAACTCGCGGACCAGCTGGAAGTGCTCCTTCCCCACGCTCCAGGCCGGATCCACCAGGAAAACTACATCGGCCGCCGCGCCGCGCCGCTGCCCGCAGCTTCAAAGAGAGACGAAGGTTTCAGGCTCTCCGGCTCTGGCATCCCCCGCCATGCCCTGGACTTCTCTGGCCCCACCTGCGTCCAGGTGCACGGATGGACTTACCTGGCGGGCAGGAGCATGGCGCGTGGCCCCACCCGGGCATCAGGCGGCTCCCATAGGACCGAGAACTCATTCCCGGAGTCCTTCGACCCAAACATGCCCCTTAGTCACCCTCAGCACACCCAAGCCCACCTGCTCGGACCCAGAGTCCGTCGGTCCGAATCACAGCCGTCAGGTCAGATTCTCATCCTGAGCTTGGGGCTGGGTGGCAGAACTCTGAGGACCCTTGGCCCAAGGCCGGGACAGCCGTGCCCCCAACTCTGGCTGGAGAAGAAGCTCCCCCACGTCCATCTCTCAGAAGCAGGGACCCTCTGGGACAGGGCCGGGGATCGAGGTGGACACGCTGTCCCTCAGTGCGCCTGGCCGGGCCCAGGCTGTCTGTCTACTCAGAGACCCCCCAGAAACACACCCCCAGAGGCGAGACCCCCATGCCCCATGTCTGAGAGCTGCAGAGAAGCGTCTGCTCACCGGGCAGGAAGCGGGAGGCAGGTCTTGCTCTGACGTGCAAGGCAGGCTCACTGCCCACGCCTGGCCAGCACCGGCCAGCGGGCCCGCCAGAACCTCCCTGTAGAGCCCAGGGCGGACTCTGTAAAGGTTCATGTTTCTGCAACTCTGTCACCCGGACACGCATCCTCCTGCGCCTGGGCGGTGGGGCGGCCCTGAGCTGGGACCCCCGTTCCGTGGCGCCTGCAGGCCCTGCCCTGCGTCAGGCCGCCAGAGAGCCCTGGGGAGGGTGAAACATTTTCAGCACAAACGTTCCACTCTCGCCACTGTCCAGACAAGGCCCCAAGTCGTGGGGACCAACACGCCTCCCATAGCCCGGGACCGGGCGGGCCAGAGCCCGGCGGCTCCTTCTTACCTGCTGGCCCCTGCTGGGCCCGCGCGGGGGGGACGCCTGTGAGGAGGAGGCAGAACAGGGCCGTGGCTGGCCAGCACCGCTGACACCTCATGGCTGCAGCTCGGAGGGAAGGGACCTGGGGAGAGAAGCAGGCAGAGCCGTCAGCGCTGGGGTGGTCCAACCCCCACTGGGGCCACCGCACCCCCTGCCCCACCCCCGTGCCCGCCCGGGACGGGACTCCAGGGCCCTGAGCCCCTGTTTCCTCCCCAGCAATGTGGGAGCAAAATAAGGAAGAGTCTCTCTCTTGCCAGCCTCAGCCCCAGGAGCTCAGAGCCTCGTGGAAACTGTCAGGAAGAAAATCAAAGGAGCGACTCGGAGCCCGCGGTGAGCAGAGGGCGGAGCTGGACTCAGACGGGCTGAGGCCGCGGGGGCAGGAGAGAGCCCGAGAGACGCCCCTGGACGGAAGCCGACGGGGAGATTGCACAGACTCGGAGACAAAAACCGGGAACCCACACAGAAAAGACACGGGTTGGATCGAACCGTCATAGCCATCAAAGGTCCTCACGTAAAGCCTGGACTATAGGCCAAGAATAAAGCCCAAGAGGGCCGCTCGCTGCCACTGGGCTCTGTAGGGACTCCAAAATCGCTAGCACATCTCAGGTCATGAAGAAGAGAGGGGGCTCGCGCAAGGAAACGCCCGCGAAGGAGGCAGTGTCGGAGAGGGGGGATGCCGCAGACCCCGCGCCAAGGAAGCCTCACATCCGCCCAGACGCCCCCTGTGACCCAGCAACAAAATAGTCTGATTCTGGGTTTGGTTTGGGGCCACCCCGGCAGGCGCGGGGCTTACTCGGCTCGGCCACCCTCCTGCCGGGGCACCAGTCCTGGTGGGCTCAGGGGACCGGAGGGGGCTCAGGAATCGAACCCGGCTTGGCCACGGGCAAGGCAAGCGTCTGACTCCTGTACCAGGTCTCTGACCCCCTAAATAATCTGACTTTAAGATGACTGGTCAACTCTAGAGGGCTCGGCTAAGGCATCGCTGCAGAAATAAAAAGTGCTTTTCTCCAAAGACACAGAGGTGGAAAGCCGGCCTGTGGGAGACACTGAACAGCTTCATCTCAGAAACGGGACAGAGCCAACGTGCAGTTACCCACCCCACCCAGGGAGACGGCCACGGTCCCCGGGACAGGACATGACGGGCTGAGCAGAGGAGAGGATGCAGAGAAATCAAACTGCTGTGGGCTGCTGGGGGGTCCACAGTGGAGTGGGGCAGCCCCACTGAACACCAGGGGACCCGGCTGCCACATAACTCAGCAACCACCAGGGTAGGTATCCCTAGTAACAAACATCAGGACTGGGGAGGGAGACCATAGCCCCCGGAGCCACCGCATAAACGTCCATCTTCCGTGGACAGCAGAAGTGTCTGTTCTCTGGCTGAAGAGCGTGGGGTGTGCCCAGCAGTGTGTCCACATTAGGGCACGTGTTCACCCTTGAGGAAAAATCCTGACACGGGTGAACTTTCTGGTCCACGGTGAGCCACAGAAGACAGCCCACAGCGGACCGCAGTGTCCCCTTATTCACGAAACCGGAGCAGCCGGGCCATCAGGGATGGACACAGAACAGTGCTGACGGTCGCAGCACTGCCCAGTGGAACCAGACGATGGCCCGCTTCTGAGGGGAGTTCGGTCGCTTCTCTGTGCTGTGTCCTACGGCCCCGAGAAGGGAACAGGAGATGCCGCCTCCCGTGGCTGAGGGTCTGGCCACTATCCCGTCGGGAGCACCGTGGATTAGTAGGAATGATCAGAGGTATCACCTTCGGAGGGGCCGACTGAACGTGAGGGCGTTTAAGAGCTCCAAGGGGAAACTGAGGCAGTTGAGGCTTTTGGAGCACATGTAAGCTTTTATGTGGCACACACTTGGCACCTGTTCCAGAGTAACATTTGGAAAGGAGAATCACCAGCAGCGAACATGGCGGCATGAGAGTCTCCAGAGAACGCGAGGCACGAGCAGGGGTGTCTGCTTGGGATGGGTCCTGCAGTCCCCCGGCTCCAACCTCAGTCTCCCCCACACCCTGTCCAGCACCCGGGGGGCATCGTCTGTCCCATCAGCAGAGCGGCCTTGGCCTGCAGGGGATGGGCGCGTTGGGACCATGGAGGAGAGCAAAGCACCCTGAGCACAGGGCGACCCGGGCAGAGAGCCATCACCCAGCCCCGTGGCTGGGTCACGAAATCCTCCAGCCCGTGTCCGCGCAGAGCAGGGGGCATCCCACCCCGTGGCCTGGCCATGAGGGAGGGGGTCCAAGTGAGCTGCTGGGAAAGAGGAGACGAAGCCAGAACTGAGGAAGCGGAGGGCCAGAAAGGTAGTCCAGTGGGCAGGGCACTGCTCTGCACTTGGCCAAGCTGGGAAGGATTCCCAGCGTCCCTTGTGGTCCCCTGAGTCCCACGAGGTGTGAGCCGGGACGCAGAAGCAGGAGAAGGCCCTGAGCACCGCCAGGTGGGGCCCAGCATGAAGACACTAACAATGACGGTGATGATGACAACGGAATGGATCGAGGACCCTCGCTGACACAGCTCAGGAGAGATGCCCAGGGTCTCGCTGCCTGTGCTCCCAGGGTCCCTGAGAAGCGTTTCCTTCTGAGGACGCCCAGCAGAGCTGCCAGGCACAGGCCCTCTGCTCGACCTGTGGGATGAGTGTGTGTGTCTCCGACAGATGGACGCGACACCCAGGGCGTTCCCCCGCGCACGGCACTGTGGTCTCACGGCGTCCCTGTGCCCAGGCCAGGCTGGTGCCCAGGGCACTCCCCAGCTAGCCCGGGGGTCTGCTCCGTGGAGGAATGGCCGATTCACTCCCTAGCCTCCCTGAAGCACCGTAAGGTGTGGACGGGGAGGGAAGGAGACCCAGGCCTCTCTCGGGCATCCTCGCTCCAACCATCCTCCAAGGCAAGGACTCCTAGCTGGCTCAAAGTGTATGTGGCCTGGAAAATGGGCACTGGTGGAGGGATGGGTATCTGATCATTGTATAATTGAAACCAAAGCACAAAAAATTGTAAATCTACAACTTTAAAAAAAATAAAATAAAATAAAGGGAAAAAAAAATCAAAAAAAAAAAAGTGTATGTGGCCGTGTTCCATCTCCGGAGGAAGAGCCTCCCTGGGCAGTGGGAGGAGAGGCCAGAGGCTCCCCTTGGGGGGGTGTGCCCAGGAAGGCCTGCGCCCCATCCTGCTGGGGGCCTCAGGGGCTCCCCACGCTGCCCTGCCCTGTGCTGGACCCTGACCAGGCGGATGGACACTCCCTGGTACTCTCTTTGCCATTAAATCAGTTCTGCTGTTGACCGTGCCCAGGAGAACCCGGACACCACAGGAAATTATGTCCATTCCAATTAATAAAAGATGCCAAGCCGTCCCTGTGGACACCCAGGCTGGCCCCGGAGAGAGAAGAGAGATGTTTGGTGGCCCCTGTGGGAAGGATGCGGTCACCTCTCCTCCTGGCCCGCGGCTGCCCCATAGCTCGGAAGCTGCCCAGGTGGTCTGCCCCACACACGGTGAAACAAGGCACTGACTTACATCCAGAGCCCCATTCTAAGCAGGCACTCCAGCCTTTCTGCAATTTCTCTGGACACTGAGTTGTTTTCTTATTCCAGAGCACTTTCCTCATTTCTTTATATGTATTCTGGCTTTATTATTGTCACTGTTGGATGTAACATGTATTTGGAAAAATTGCCCTGTCTCCATTATCAGACTGGCTCTCTGCCAATGGACTTCAATGATAAAGTAGAATTTCTTTCCGTCTAGAATTCTGCTTTATGTGAAAACTTCCCTCCTGTAATCTGCCAAGCTTTTCTGAGCATGCTGCTTCCCTGGTGCTGTGTGTGGCATTCTCTTGTATGCAGGCTCTTGTCCTCTTGTGCCAGCCTGCAGAGTGTGGCCTCTTGCTCACGCTCCACAAACTGGGTGAGCTGCTCAAATTGCGAGAGCAACTGACTGTTATGCTTTCTCACCTCCTGAATGAAGTTCTACATTCAATATGGTTTTCTCAGGGATGGTCTCTGAGAATCCAATGTATGTCTGGACTCAACGCCCTCCAAACAGTATTTACCAATAAGCCAATCAACTTCTGGGGCTTCATACATTAGGATCCCCTGTCTCACGTGATACTATTTCACATCATCACTCTCTGTGATGAGGAAAGAACCACATTCACATCAGAGGAGTGATCACTCAACTCTAGGATTTAGTATAAAATATTATCTGGTTAATCTCAATAC